GGTTGGGGACCCCTGATATAGATGATCAGACTTGTACTTAAGAAACGGGTGAGAGTGTGCGCAAGTGTGCGCGTGTGGGTCTGTGTTGCCCAGCTGACCTCTGTTCCAACATCTGTCTGTAACAGTAATTACTGTATGTCACAACCACACTTGTGCACCTTGCACTGATTGGCTGCCATGAGATATTGTTCCTGCCTTTACACCTGAGGCCTCACTTTGCCTTTCCACAAAAATGTTTTTCACATCGATTTCAAGGTATGAGGAGGATGGTCCATTACGGCTGGAATGTCCATAAGTTATTTTCCTTTTTGTGTTGTCAAATTTTGCATAAAGAATAAAGGCAATATTTCTTTGTCACTGTTCTCCTATTCTTTACGGCAAAGGTGATCATTGTTAGCCTACTGGGAATATCTCAGAACCCAAGGAGGGTAACAATAAAGCATGGCACGGTGTAGTGGACTTGAAAGGATGGGCACGGCACTCTTGAGATTCCATCCATACAAACACATACAGTCAGTGTTGGCAACTTAGCCACTACATTTAGCGAATTTTGCAAACCCTCGAGTGGCTATTTTTTTGCAATATATGTCGGTCCCGAATCAACTAGCCAGTGTATGTGCGCCTGCTGCTATTTATTATTTTAGATCGGCTCTTGAACAAAATAAATCGGTGCAATAAATGGTGCAATTTCTGGGTGGAAGCGAACTCATAAATACGCCAGTCTGCGTCCCTCCTCCAGATCTCCTGCTCACAGCCTGTTTGCAATGGTCGCATCCGGCCGCATTGTAGCCAGGCACAAAGTTGCACCTGTATGGTGGCGGAACAGCACGCTGCCTCAAGCAACAGCTCAGCCAACAAAAAAAGTTAAAAGGTGTAAAAGCTCTGTACTGCACCCCCCCCAGCCTAATAAATGTTAACACCTAATCTCTTCTCTTTGGTTCTGAGGCAGAGAACCAATTTATCTTCCCAGAAAAGGGGACACTAGTAGATTATGTCAGAGAGGGTTATTTTGGGTCTGTACTCTTGAGTGACTACAACCTTCATGCTCAAAGGAAGTTTTTCATTGACTTTTTTCATTAGACACCAACAAAAATTATGTCTCTAAGTTTCCTTTAGTTTAGCTGAATAGACGGAAACATTGTTGAGTGTGTATAATATTGACACAAATTAGTTGCCTCCCCATATGTAAGACAATGGGCAACTTTTAAATGTAACATTTTAACGTTTGAGAATAAATTTGTTCAACTGCCGCCTAAAACAACAAAGCATCTTTGGAATGTGCTTCTGTTTTTCCAGTTAACTCATACCGCCTCATAGCTTCCCACACCTGCCATACATCACAAATTCATTTTGTCAAAATGTCTCTTCAGGGAAAGTCTTTTGTTGGAATCCTTCAACCCATCAACCTTCACAGCAGAGATTAGCGACACACAATCTACTTCGTTCGACCACAAGGCTCCTGCAGAATATCTGATCGCAGCAATCTTGCTTCTCGTCTAGAAAATGGAGGGCGAGATCCATTCCAAGTCCAGTAATAATACATGTACTGATGCATAGTGATTAAAAAAAAAAAAAAATCCATACTTGAAATATACCAGATGTAGAAACAGTAAAGTGAGACCTGGGAATGAACTGTTGGCTTTTTTAGACATTTTCGTTGGAATAGATGTATAAATGTGTGTGTCTGTGTGTGCATGTGTGTGTGCAAATAAAACAGCTGTTTTCAGAAACGCTCTTAAATTTCAAGGGGATAACAGAGACAACCTTACTGCTTTATACACAAACCCAAACCACAATAAAGACACCGCTGCAATACGGGGCCAATGAAAACCCCACCAACTTGCATTGGATGAGCAGATCGTAATCTAAAATTTGAGTACGCATGTCAAAACATTATTTCAGACCGTTTGCACAATCGCTGACATCCAGATTCGACAACTACCTGAAATGTTTGCGCGACCGATTCAACAAGTTGCTGGAAGCTTTTCTCTGTATGCTCTGGTTCCATTTGACACAGACTCACCAAGATTGTTGTGACAATGTAAGTTCGGTTCTGAAGGCCATATGTGTCATTGCTGCCTCTCACGAAGCTTGCAGTGGTCACATATTTCTCATCTTCATTCCAGTAGCCAACCTATGAAAAGGATGGTAGATTACGCTCTTAAATTATTCAAAACCGGTTCCTGTAATAGTCCTCATGATTTGAAACTTGCAGAAGTAGGTGCGGATCCAAAATAAAGACCCATATTAAATCCGAATACATCATGCTCACCTTTTTGGGTCCTGATGGAGCCAGTTCCATCACACTAACCGTGTAGTTGGTCCTGCGGCCTTTCTCATTGAACTGAATGTGACCGGTGAGTCCATCTATACGGACCTGAGTTTGAGAGTCAGCAATTGGCATCAAGGAAGAAACACAAACTACACAAAAGCCAACTCTCCATGTCACGAAAATGCTTTCGCTCACGAGAGTCTGTCCGAGACAGCGGTGTCTGTCTGCCTCCCTACGGAGGTGAATGACAGACGGGCGTGTGTCCGTGTACAGTGCAGTGTTTGTCTTGGCGGCATGATGGAGTTAATTGAGCGAACACAGCTTCATTCCACAGACTATCCCTAGGCAGATGGCTAGATTGACACTGAGTGGGCCTGTGCACAGCCGTTCTGCAGACGGAGCCTCGGGCTGCCTGCGTACACGCATGCTATTACATTATATGTTTGACCTGGCGTCAAGTCGGTTCCCGAGAAAATTAAGAAATGTATTCAAATGACATTTTTCGTCATCTGTGGAATTGTCTCCGCTTCTTGATAAGAGTGCATGCTTGCGTGTATGTCTGCGCGTGTCTGTTTGAGTAAGAAGTCGCACAGCAAGACCACTGTTTCCTTTTTCATTGCCAAATATTACATTTCTAAACTCAATTGCTGATGTCATCTTCCATGACGATCACGGCTGAGGGTTACTGCCTGGAGACATTGTTTACCAGCCCCGATGTCACTTTTGATACTGGGGACTTTCCTGCGACTTCATGTGAACTTTAGATGACAGAACGAGCCCTAATTTGCCCAGCCAGGCTCATCTCAAGAGCAGTTAGCCCATGTGCCACTCAGGAATGGCTGTATGACTCTCGAGGTTCGTGTGTTTGAATGTGAGGCTTCTCTGTGTGTGCGCAGACCTGCTGCAAGGCTCTTTGGATGTCTATGCCTTGACCCCACGGAGCCGGTGGATTGGCAAGGCATTCCCCAGCATTGCCCCTGCGCGAGATGTCTATCCTTTGTCTCCTTAAATTCTGGAATGCTGTTGACATGACTTTTACCCCATCATACGTCAAAGCACCAGTGTACTGGAAACACAGCAGAAAGGCAGACAATTTTTGAGACTGTGATGAGAGTGTGAACAGTGTTGAGAAAATCTAATGCCTTGGTACAATAATGCACCGAACCCATTATGCACATTTATTCTTCCACTAACACCCACAGGTGACTGCTTCAAACCGATCCATTACTTTGGATGGCTAAATCCATTTCCAGGTACCGGTAATTTTATCGCATGAAAATTATTGAAATCTGATAAGATCCTGCAAAGGCTTACTGTCATGCATTTTTACAGTTTCATGACCTCTCGTTGACAGCCACAAACAGTCGGGAAGCTAACAACTCTCCTGATATAATCATGTATAATCCCGAGGACACTCATCGACATCAGTGGACTGTATTACATCAGCACTTCAATTATGGACGGTGAACAAAGGTAAACATCACAGTTACTTTGAGTCCCTTCTTGGCCATTTTGGAATCCTTGTTGTCAAATTCCATCCATTGTTGGACGACTCTGCTAACGCTGGGCTCTGAGTTGTTGACCAGCTGGAAGCCGGTAATGTTCGCTCCACCCTTGCGCAGGTCTGTCAGGTCAATGTCCAGGAAACCCTGTAAGGGGAGGTGGACAGGCAGGGAGAGTGAGAGCCACAGGCGAGAGACGGTACGCTCATTGGCCACAATATGACCTGCACCTGCGCAATCAAATGATGCAAGATCTGCACTAATAGTTCTGACATCACAGAACATTTAATTAAACTCTGTCAGGGTACGATTAATTATGTATGTACGGTAGAGGTACAGTGCGTTATGTAGGTTCAGTAATTTGTTTGTGGTTTTCATGCAATCTGCTGGTGTGCCAAATGTTTGATCAAGGTATGCACTAAGGATGGGCATTTGACTTAATTCCCTTGAATCAAATGTCAAACTTTAGTTGTCAATGAATCTGTTTTATCTTTGTATACTGTTTCAATAGTACTGAATGTAACTCCTGTTTTGATTCCAGCAGTGTAGGGAGTAGAATAATGATGCTCAGAGAAAGTCTACGTGGATGTAGTGCAACGTCCCATATATGTTGGTCTGCTTTGGTATATATATTTAGTATACTGTATATATTTTCCAATCCGCTTATCCACACAAGGGTCGCTATCCCAGCTGTCTTTGGGCAGGAGGTAGGGTTGCACGGCACACATCGACAAACAACCATTCACACTCACAATCACACCTAGGAACAATTTAGAGTGTTCCATTGACTTGCCATGCATGTTTTTGGAAATGTGGGAGGAAACCGGAGTACCCAGAGAAAACCCACGCAGGCACAGGGAGAGCATGCAACCTCCACAAAGGAAGGCCGGAATCGTACCCTGCACCTCTGCACTGTGAGGTGGACGCATATCTGCCTCACAGTTCAGAGGTCATAGGTTTGAATCCGAGCTTCCGGTGTGGAGTTTTCCTGTTCTCAGTTTTCTCCCATATTATAAAACATGCATATTAGGTTAAGTGTAGACTCTGACTTGTCCCAAGGTGTAAATGTGAGCCTGAATGCTTATGTGGTAAAATGTGCCTCAGGATTGCCTGGCGACCAGTTCAAGGTGACCCCTGCCTCCCCGCCAGAGTCATCTGGGATGGACTCCAGCTTATCCTCGTGAGGATAAGGATAATGGATGGACGGACACTTTGGGAAATTCATACAAATGCCATGAAGTGCTGAAACATTTTTTTTCCAATACACTGGAGTAATTCAATAGAAGGTGGACACTGACATCTTTTCTCTTTAATATTTTAAACAAATTGGATTTATGAACGACATGACTCTGTCATGTTTGTATTATTACAAAACCTTGTTTCATTTACAGTTGACTGGCAAATATGCAGCACATGAAGAAATTCAGATGGATGGACATTTTATATAGAATTTAAACATAAATCTTGAGAATTAGGTTGAAATATTTCCGTGAAATCTACTTCTTTGCGGGGTGCACAACAAAACGAGAAACATCAGAGAGCAAATTATTTATGAAATTATTTAAATTATTTGAGGCATTTAAAAACATTAATAAACACTGTTTCATTTATTTCCTGTGGCAGCCGAAAACCTCCGCTCACACATGCAGCCAAACTTAAGACTCATTGGTGAAAAAGATGTTGAGAAAGAGCAAATGCAATTCAACTAAGCTAGTTGTATGTCTCATAAAGCTAAAACAGTAAACTAGAAGATGGAGATGAATATTCCAAAACCTTATTATGTCATAACGATCATTAATTATGAAGAGCATTCTAAAAATGACACACAGTCTCTTTTGCACCTCAAATGCAAGCTCGTGTAAGAGACTCACTGTCTCTCCTTGGGGACAAAAGTAGTGAGAAAAGAAAATAGAAAACCAAGTCGTCAAGTCAGTAGACTGGAGAAGACTTCGAAACTTTTAAAGAAGGATCTGAACCTTACAGGCCACCGTGCACAAGAAGCAAGGAGTGTCTTCAGTCGGAACATAATGGGTTGACTGTAACATTAAATGCAACTTGTGTGTCCTCCCTTTTATGTGAGGAAGGCTATTTTGGTAAAAGGGACAAAGGCAAGGCAGCATGCTTGTCAGGAAGAGGCAGACAGTTGTGATTGAGTGGGAAGTCCAAAGAGAGAAGAGTTTTGACTGATGAGAGGAGAAGGTGCTTCTCTGGATTGTGTGACAGAAAATCTCTCCATCTTCCTTCCATGCTCTGATCTCTTTGTTTGAATCTCATGCAAAGATGTTCTTTGGCTTTCTCTGTCGCATGGCCACACGCCGAAGCGAACCCCTTCCCAGTCCAGATAATAAATAACGATTGATCATTATCTTAAAGCCAGTCGACCGGGCTGACTGAGTAGCATTATGCGCTACTGTTTTCAAGAACTAGTGAAGGTTGGCATGGCAACAGCTGAAACATGAAAGCCAATTCATGCTTCAGTTGAAGCAAATGTCACCACCTGCTCCCTAAAGTGCGAGCATGCTGCCAGGTGTCCTTCTTCCTGCACTTTAACAGTGAATATTTGGGAAACATGGTCAGCCGAAGAATGAGTGGCAACTCTGCATTTGGCACAAGGCTGTATTTGTATTTCGTATTTGAAACAGCAGTGATCGGAAAAAAAAACAATCAATAAATGGCTGAATAGAAATATTTGTCATTGCACATCAGCCAAAATTGTATTTGTGTATTTATTAAGAATTTCCGGGTGACTGCTGCTCAAACATGAACATGCAGAAAATGAAAACCAAGCCATTGCATCTCATTCTTGTCAATGCGAGGATATGGAAACATTAGAAAAATTAGCGTGAGCATTTTGATGGTCTGCAATGGAAAATGAGGGTAATCCCTTTGCGTGCCGACTAAAAAAGAAAAAAAATGTCCAAGCGTTGTCATCTAAAACAGGGGCCCCCAACCTTTTTTGCCCCACGGACCGGTTTATGTCAGACAATATTTTCAGGGACCGGCATTTAAGGTGTGGCGGAAATAATACAACAAAATAATATGGTATGAGCTGCATGAAAACTGGCGTTTTCGAAATATAATAATAAACACAAGGAGCGTCTAATCTGGCCACAACACTCCGATCGCTATGGCAATGTTAATGCCTTCAAAATACGATACAACGGAAATTCAGTGTGTAGTGAAGTGCATGAAAATGACGACTCACCACGGCACCGAGCTTGATTTTCTGCAACCAGACGGTCCCATCTCGGGGTAATAGGAGACAATGACGCCTCAAGTGTGTGGTTTATGTCCAGTCTACTTCGTAATTTTGTTTTCGTCCCGTTGCTGCAGAAACCCCCCACCTCACACAGGTAGGATGTCGGAAATAGCAAAAGTGCTATTGTGGCGATCTCAGAGTATTCAGACATAACTTTAATCCAGTTGTCTCGAACGTACTTTTAAGGCCGCCGTCATTTGATAAAACATCTTTCGTATTCCGAAATAAATAAAACGGAATTAAGGCAAGTTCTTTCTGTGCGGCCCGGTACCAAATGCCCGGCGGACCGGTACCGGTCCGCGGACCGGCGGTTGGGGACCCCTGATCTAAAATGAACCCATGCTTTTGGGGCAGACGAGCATGATTGAGTCACTCTAATGACCACAGTGGGGAAGAAGTGATCAAGCTGCAGCATATTAATGCTGCTCTGACTACAATGTCAATTATTCTCTTCTTCTGCGTCACTGAGTGAATGTGAAGAATGCTGTAGGGTGGCCTGCGGAGAATTTGCAGAAAATGGCAGCAGTCAAATTGAGCTGGCGGATCAATCTTACACGACAATGACTGTCTGACCTTTGTCACTGTGGATCTGCTCACAGTGTCTCGCCATGTCACTTCATACAGCTAAATCGCTCCGAACGTCTATTTAATAGTGACGATCTGAAACACATTTCAGGGCAGAGCTCCATTTCCTCGGAGAAATTTTGTTCCGTTAATGTTTTGTGTCTCGTGCCAAATGCTGCGAAGGGTATCAAAACAATCTGCATTGTACAGATTTAATTTAGAGACACACTGCAGCCTGATGATTTGTTGATATTAAATTATCATGTCCATTTAGGTTTGACATTCCAAACTGGAGATACTGACTGTAGCCCTTAGTGGGAAGTTGACTTTCAACAGGGGAGTCAGAGTCATTTTACTTTGCAGGCCACAGTCCTCCTAATTTGATCTCATAAGTGGACCGCGGTGCTATATCTGTGGCTTCATAAGCTATTCCTCATCATTTTGTTGCAAAGAATGACACGAGCTGTACGTTTGACATCCTTTCTCCCGAACATTCATTGTGGAAAGCAGAAGAAAATAAATGCTTACCAAGTTTGCCAATATGTAGTGGTAACTCTTTGCATTCTTGCCTTGCTCAACAATCTGGAGAATAGAAAAAGACGAATGAAGGATAAAATGACCTAGACACAACAATGTGCTGTGTGTGTGTGTGTGTGTGTGTGTGTGTGTGTGTGTGACAGAGAGAGAGAGAAAGCAAGAAAGAGAGAGAGAGACAGAGCGAGAGAGAGACAAACACTGTCAAAGTAGTTGTCAAAGTAGTCTACTGTTCCTAGACAAGTGTCCTTGACAGTCAAGAAAGTAGGCCCATATAAATTAGAGCAATAGCACAAAATGAGAAAATAGGTCAACCTTCAAATTTGGACTTCCTGTATTTACAGATTTTTATGATTTTTTTTTTTTTTTTCACTCTCCACTCTCCAGACTGACCGTGTTAGGATTAGGATCAAGGATAATTAACATGATCGCACTACGCTAAAAGGTAATTTGACTCTGACACTCCTCTTATATACTGACACTTGCCTTACATTGAAGGAAAAAAAGTGATTTCAAGGATGGGCACTGTATGAACTGTATAAGGCAAAATACCGGTAAAATATTTTGGATTTCCAAAAGTGGATCTGTGAGCACTGCATTAGCCCCATTACATAGCAATGGGGCTAATTTACAATGTAACTACGCCCCCATATAACTTTCTCGTCGCACAAAATACAATCAACAATTATTTTGTACAACCATGAAACACTGAAATGTGTGCAAATATTCTGTGCAGTGTTACAACACCAAAAGAAGCCTTCTTTTTCTTTTACCATTGTGTCACTGAAGGCTCATGTTTGATGTCTGTTGTGTCAATAATTGAGAGCTAAATCAGTGAAAATCATCACGATCTAAAAAAAAAAAAAAACCTAATGCCACTCAAAACCTCCCAAAAATGTACAGTATTCATTCCTCATCACCATGGGAGCGCACAATATCATGACCCTCTTGCCTTTACCGCTGACCAGTCAGCCCACCCCCAAGGGTCAGGCCAGATGGAGTAACACGTCAAGAGGTGTGGAGTATAGTGCCAGCATCAATTTATTCATACATGTATTTTTGGCCCCACTTTGACTGACATTTAAATAGGCCGCCCTCTCCCCCGCTCCTCGTTGCGGCACTCAAGGCAACTCTCTTGCCTAAATAAAGACGGCGTTTTACTGCTCGACAACAGAGTGTCAATCGTGTCAGCAAAGCATTCCGAGAAGCCACATGAATAAAGCCTGAGCGGGCAGCACTAGTCGAAAGTCATGCACCATCCAATTAGGATTTCTTACAGTGGATAAGCAGAGCATTCATGTGTCGGTGTTCAGTCAGTGTGCAGAACATCACACATTGTTGCTCCTCTTGCTCTCTCAGCATTTTCTCCTGAGGGGCTGAGCATTTGTTTTATGGTCTGTGTGTGTGTGTGTGTGTGTGTGTGTGTGTGTGTGTGTGTGTGTGTGTGTGTGTGTGTGTGTGTGGGGTGTGTGTGTGTGTGTGTGTGTGTGTGTGTGTGTGTGTGTGTGCGTGCGTGCGTAATACTGCTGCAGGTCATAGCAGAAGGTGGCATTTGTTATTAATGGTGACCCCGGCACAAGGCGGGCCCTGCGGTCAAGCCTCTGGCAAGGAAAAGCAAGAGGAAGACACCCGCACCCGCGCACACACACACCCGCACACTGACACGACAACACAAATGCACTCGCAATAGTGGTCTAGCAAATGCAAATGTTTGTGAAATGCCTGACGATTAATTACACATGCAAATTTGTGCCATTCAGACTTTGGCCCCCAAGAGAAAGGGTCACTTCTCATATCTTTGCATGAAAATCAGCTTCGTAACACATATATATATATATATATTTTTTTTTTTTCTTAACACTTCTATCACCATGGATGTTCTCCAAGGAGACTACTTTAACATTTAGCTTCCCTTGAAATGTCACCCTTAGGATACTGCCTAGTGACCTTATCGCAAGAGAATCTGTGTACTGTAAGAGATGAATGAGATGAACACGGGAGTGTAAAAGGTGAAAGAGGCAGGCGAGTGTGTATTTGTGTGTATGTGAGCGCACCGCTGCATACAGGTGTCAGATACACACAAGTGGGGCACCATGGAGGCGGGGAGCAGATGCGGGTGATTGATGGCATCTGTCTGAGAGGAAAACATCTCAGAGTCCGGGCTCCTATAAAGCGTTGAGACCTGATGCAATAACCTTAACTGTTGCCCAGGCCATCAATAACATTCACGTCCAACTAAAATAGTCTCTACTTTATGTGTGGGTGTGGATATGGATGCAAGTGCACAGTATGATTCATGGGTTGTTGTAGCAAAAAACATGTTCAAATTGTCTTTAAAAAAGTTCCACTGAGCTGGTAAGTTGAAGAGACTTTGGAGGACAAGACTTGCCAAGTGTTGGTGATGACAACACAAACAGTTTTGAATTTTGAAGGGACCAGTGAGCTGTGAAAGTCTTTCTATTGGACTGTCAGTTGTGATTCCTGGATCGTTTTTGTTTGAGCAGCGCTGCTCTGAGAGTTCATCCTGTCATGGGAGAATGCTGACTCTAAATGCATAAGCTGTGTTGTTGATCATTTTTGTCCTTGATGCTTGGAGCCTGCACAGAACAGCAGACCAACAAATGATCTCACTACCTGCACATTCTTTTCCGTTCTGCATCGCCGCATCTCTTCATCTTGTTAAACCACGCAAAGCCGAGTATACAAATCCACTTCTTCCTAACTCCTTTGAGGAAGCTAATTGCCCAAAATAAATCTCATGTGCCCAAGGGGGAAAACAACCAAACAGATGGACTTTATTTTTCTTTGAGATTTTAAGATCATTAAAGCACAATGGAGTGTAATTACATTAGGGAGAAAAGCTGTTTACCTTTTTAAGGATGCCAGTGAGCCTCTCTGTCTCACAATCGATGATAATCTGCCCCTCCTTTGTCTTGTCCAAATCTTGGAACACTTTCAAGAACGATGCCTCCGTCATGGTCTCCACATTGACCGAAGTCACGAGCCAGTTCCTCTCTGCTGCCGTGTCCAAAACCTTCTGGAGCACGGAGAGCCCTGGACAGAGGTGGAGAAAGCATTCACACACACAAAAAAATGGACTAATTTGGAAGAGGAGTCATGTAAAGACAGCATTGTTATGAATTAGAATGGCCTGAGAGATAATGCATTTCATTGCATAGAAATAAAGCATCGAGAAAGGAGATGTGGGACAGATTATCGCTAACATTTGTCACTATACAGTATTGATACACAAGAATTTGCACACTGAATGACTGAATGGTTTATTATCGTGAATCTTGCCATTCTTCTCTATGTAGTAGACGTTATCCACCAAATTCCCCGGTCGACGCAACTTTATTAGGTGCGGTGCACTTTGAACGGCTGATCAATAATAGATTAATGTGCACGTTGAATGGGCATCCTGCTGGGACTTATACTTCGGGAAAGGTCTGTCCTCACTCCGAATATAAAAATATATGCGAGGCTCGGTTGTACAATTCATTGTGCTCGTAATACAATACAGCAAGCCGATGGGTACTATCCCCAATTTGGATGTTTTATTTCGGGGTGTCAAACTCATTTTTGGCACGGGCCACATTTTAGTTACCGTTTCAATTAGAGGGCCGTTATGACTGAAACCATATAAAAAAGTCAAGAATAGCTGTTGATTTAACGACTGGTTAAGTTACTATCATGAGGGGTTTGGTACCAAGAAAATGCTTCGAATATATCTCTTATTTATTACATATGAGAATTTAAAATTTTGGTAGACGTTTTAGAAAAGATCATGGAAGTTGACATATTTGAGCTGCTTTCACGGGCCACATAAATTGATGTAGCGGGCCAGATCTGGCCCCTGGGCCTTGAGTTTGACACTTGTGTTTTATTTTGTTTCCACAATGTCAAACACGGCGTACTCGGCTTTGCGCTACGACCACCCTGATTTTGATGCAAATCCCCCACGGGGATTGGCCAGGAAAAGTCTACTTCCATCCCACAGCGGGGCACAAAGGCCTAAACGCCCCGTTACACCCAATTCTACCAAAATACCAACACCAAAAGAAAGAAAGCTTCACCCAGTTAGACTGCGCTTTGGACTCGACTTGTGCCGGGAACGAAAATTGGACCCACTGTGATGAATTAAGTAGGTATTCTCATATTGCAGCACAAAATTATTGTGGTTAATTTCATTTCTTTTTGCTTTGATATATTGAAAATTGCATCATTATTGTAAAGCCATATTATTGACAAAATATTGTATCACAAGTTTCTGTGGCTTTCCCCACCCACCTTAACATTATAGGACAGAAACAAGGGCAAGGAACCGAGCCCATCCATCAGAACTTCCCCTGTAGGTTCAGTGATAAAGTGTAATGAGTGGTGGAGTCCATTCAGCACACTGACACTTCCAAGTGTGCTGGCCTAAATAATGACCACTTCTACACCAACAAACGCTCAGCCCATGCATCACAGCCAAAGACACCGTCACAACCCGGTTTACATCCTCCAAGTCACAATTACAAGTGACACTGCCACAGTCCACTGTTGCCTGGACACGGGAGAACCATGGAGTGAGAGCGAGAGCCACTAATAAGGGAAAACAGGAAGAAAAAAGTGGATGAGAAAACACACTACACCCTGACGCATTTTTTTTTTTTTTTTACTCCTTTTCTCTTGGAAGGCAGCAACTCAAATTGGGAGCCACAAACATTCCGTGGGGGGAAATGTAATTATTTCACTCGAGAAAGACTTTCAGCTGTTACCCAAATTTTAAAAATATTACAGTCAAACCTCTTTTCAACGTACCCCATTGACAAAATTTCCACTCCTAAAACCTTCAGATTTCAAAGTCCCGATTTTACGTTATTCATTTTGCATTTGCAGATTTTGCTTGCAACGAACAGCTTCATAATATAAACTTCATTATACTGATCAGACTTCTCTTACAAAGTAGTGAAAAGGCAACGAACCGTGAAAAGCTGATTGCCGGTGCAACCTTGCGTATGAACAAAATATACAGCGTGAGATTGCCCTCAGTTGCTTAACAACGTGACTGACTTCCGGAGGCTTGGCGCACATGGTCTGAAAAGATGACTGGGAAACAGTTGGAAATCTTGCTGTCTGTGAAGGCTGAAATTGTCTCTCACTTTTGAAATGGAGTCTCCCAGCTGAAACTAAACCTCGACTATGAATTAACAAAGTCGACAATTTTGACAATAATCCATAATGGCAACAAAATCACGGCAGAGTTTGAGGCCAACAGATTGAAAGATGATCGTAAACGGATGCGGGGGGGGTGACACATCCTGAAGTGGGGAAGGCAGTTTTTATTTGCTTGCTGACTGAATGTTTTCCGATATGAAGTAGCAACGCGACGGTTGTTTGTTTCATGTCTAATAAAATATTTTTTGTCTTCATACTTTATACATCTATTTCTAATTGAAATGCTTATATTGTATAACATGTTGATGTTTTTACATCGGCAAATGTTCATATTATATTATACATTGTAGTTGGCAGTCATTTTATTGGCAATAGTTACGAAGAACTTCCGTTATAAGGTGCATATTCGTTATGTCCCTCGAGGTACGTTGCAACGAGGTTTGAATGTACATATGAAATTTTGAAATATAGGAAAAAAATTTTTGAGCCTCAGACAGTGTGCACACTTAGTCATGATCATTAAGGCATTTGCCACATTTTTAACAAATGTAAAAATGTCAACCACAACAAAACAACAACAACAACACTATATGAGAAACAAATGATAAACGCAGTCACAGCGTCTGGAAAATGACGCCTTGGCCCTTTTTGAATGCACCCCAACTGCTCTCCAGGCATTCTATGCTGCCTATTTGACGGCAAGTCATTAACTAACAAAAGGATGGATGGCGTTCGACCTCCATAAATAACCACAATATGAGCAAATAAATAAGACAGCCAGGAAGTGGAGGGCGTAGACGAGAAGCGATGCATTTTAGTGGGGAGACCTTGCACACCCAAACAGAGAGAAACCTAATAGGGGGCTTTTACTAAGCTATCATTCAACGCTGAAACTGATGTATGCAAAGGTGACAAAGGATGCTCTTGCAGTAATCAAGTCTTATGGGAGAAGTCAGAGCATCCAGACGATGAAGATTTTGCCCTCTCAAGTCGCAGTGAAATTTCAGCGCCAAGGAGAACAGGCGAGCGATTTAAATTCGAATCAAACTGTCAGAATAGTGTTAAAGTTACAATACGTAATACACGGCTTAAAATAAGCCATTTCACATCGCCTATTGCCCGATGACAACTGAGATAGGCTCCAGCACGCCTGCGTCCCTCCTGAGGATAAAGCAGTTCAGATCATGAACGGATGGATTTTTGCATAGATACTGCTTTTTAAATATATCAAAATCTCACATACACCCTGGAGTGCCTTCACAAACCCCCAGGGCGACACATACATATGCCATGTGCAATATAATCAGGACTCCGGACTAACTTTTGCACTGGTAGCACTGGTACTAGCAATTTTTTCAGTTGGTTGCACTGCCCGACATTTTTGTGGGAGGTACAGTTGGCCGCATTTGTGAGCATATCGAGCGCAATGGTTCCTGGCCTTTTTTTCTTGTAACATCACAAGTTCATTTTCATGTTTTTTTTGTTTTTTTTTTAAAATATATCTTTTTAGTTGTTATATCGGCACAGACATTTGTCGTATCAAATCATGGAAATTGAAAATACAAATGACAGAAATCCAAATGAGCCATATTAATGATGAATTTTTGTGGATTTTGGATGGGGAGAAAGGTGCTCATTTCTCTCCATCTGTTGCTGTGTGATGTCATTGTGTGATGCTTCATGAGTTTTGGAGTAAACTGATTATTTCAAGGGGTGGGAATTGCAACCACCTGTGGATGGCCAATTGCAGCTCTGACCTGATTGGCTTGCAGCTCAGGGGTACTCCTTTAAAAAGGGATTGAGGAAGTCATTGCGGCCGACAGCTTGGAGAGCATTGATGCATGTGTATGCTAACCCTGGTTAGCTGTGTCCTACTGAAATGAAAATCTCCTTCCTCGATCCTAGCTGAACTGATTTTTTTTTAAATTCTTTCCACACGGCCTGTTTTTTTGCCACATAACAAAAGTATTTTCTTCACCTTAATGCGGGTTTGGTGTATTACATAGTCCATGAGTGTTTTTTCTATTATTTTAATTGTATTTCTCCCTGCCTTACATTTCGGGTCACAGTCACTTCAGTGAGCATCCAATTATAGATGAAGGCACCCCAATGATTCAGAAAGAGGTTGACAAGGAGCCTTGTAGGACAAGCCAAAGTAAAACTGTCCTTTCAAGGCATCCTAAATAATATAATATCTTGATGGAATCTAGCTCCCACATGCACCTTTGGGCACCAGGCAATTGAGAATAGAGAAAATAAACCTTAAGGTTTCAATGATTTTTTTATTTTTATGATGGTTTAATATAGTCTGTCAAATATGGTTTCCCTAATCTTCGCTTTTGTGAAAGAAAACAATACGTACTGGTACTTTTTCAGATGCTGCTGCATGGTGAGAAGATTAGAAAGTGCAGTATTTGAAAATTGGCACCTTTTAACTCTAACAGTACACTTGGATTTTCTTTCTTCAAGACAGCACAAAAGACAAACATTTACGAGAGCCACATAGGCCTATTTAATGTAAAAATTCAGATTAGATGTGACAAAATGCAAACACGCAGACGCCAAACGCATTTCAACCGAGAAATATATTATCCTAAAGTCTTAAAATAACCTTGCAGATTAAGATGACTGCAGTGTTGTATCCAGGCAACAGACGACTTCTGACTCAATTCTACCACTCAATCACACGGGGGTGACCTGGTAATCATACAGCACACAAACGTGAACACACACTGAGTGGAGGATGACGGGATCACGGGACATTACAAAAATCTTTCGGACATGCGGGACAAAAAGGGCATCAGAGGGCAAAGGAAGAGGGTGAAATCCTCCCTGTCACTACCCATCAGTGAGCTTAGCAGCGTCATATCCTGAAACGCATCTTTTAAAGCAGGGGTGTCAAACTCATTTTTGTGGTGAGCCACATTGTACTCACGGTTTCCCTTGCATTCACTTGCATTAAAGAGACGGTGTGAAGTGTAATCTAATTCTTGATTTTTGGGATACACCTGGGAACTGTTTTCAACTGTGAGAACGAGTCACAATATGTCGCCATTAAAGTTCTATACAGTGCGCATGTGTACATGTAATGTGCATGATTCCCTCGACCACACAACAGGCCCCCATTTGTGGCTATGCACCAAAACACCTCAGAGACGACCTCACCACATGCGAAGGATAGAGCTGATGGGTATTCCAGGGAAGAAGATAAGCAAACATGAGGATGACTTCTGTAGTTCTGTCTGTATATTTTCGAGCAACGGAAATTCCTGCTGAGATGAGCACAATGAAAAGCGGAATCTTTGGTTGTATTGTGTGATTTATCTGCCAGGCAGTGCTGGTGCATTTCTCTTTTCATTGCTCTAGCCCATTATAAAGACAATTACAGTGTATAGAATGGCCTGACAGTTCCTCATTCATACACCACATCGTTGTCACCGTGACAATGTGAAGACCGAGCAGGCTACGATGACCGACGTGGCTCCTGTCTGTCAGGGTGTCATCGTCCAAAAAATACCCTGCTGAGCACCATAATTAGACATGTAGATGCATATGAAATGAGCTCTGTAATTGTTGAATTCAGTCGAGTAGCAATCAAGTTGAACTACTTTCCATAATGGTTAGCAATACACCAACACACCTTCATGATCCAGCCTTCCTTTTTCTACTTTTTCTACACGTCTTCTATCTGATTGGGGATGAGCTGGACGCGATCCCAGCTGACTTTGGGTAACAGGTGTGTGTGTGGGGGGGGGGGGGGGGGGGGGGGGGGGGGGGGGTGAGGATTTAGGGCTTCAGGTCTGTTTGCCAGCCAATTACAGACGTACACATCCTCTCATAATTACTTTATGGGCGAAGCGCAACAAACCCTCCGCATTCCACAAAACAGGATGAAACACCTCCTGTCGGTTCAGGTGATTGGCAGAGATCAGGACAAAGCACCTGCAGAAATACTAAAGGTCTACAATGTCTTTCATTTTTAACAAAATGTCTTGAAGAATGACCAAATGTGATGTTTAAGCATCATTCATGTTGACACACACAGTATTATATCAGACAGTCAAAATGTACGGTAATGTGTTTAACCTTTGCTAGGGGACATTACCAACAAAGAAAACAATACTGCAGCAAGTTCAAGTTCAAACCATCATGTCATGAGCATCAGATACAGTCGACAGTGCGAGAGGGAGGGGAGGAAGGATGGAT